ACACGACAGAGGCGGCTAGGAGAAGTTACTTGTTGGTGGCTGCAAGGAGTTTAGGGCGAACTAGAGAGAGAGAGTCTCTTCTTTCCTTTCATATATATATATTGAAACTCGTATCCATTAGGTTTCACTATTTCTATGGAATTTTGTATTGCTTACGATTCAGTCACTAAATTTATTTTTGCGGGTCATTGCTCGATGATTATTACACTATCACTGGTAGTCGTGAGTATTTAAATTAGATTTCTATGGATACGAAATCAATATTACTAGGGTTTGGGTGTTTCATCTTTTTGGAGTTAAGCTTTTTGGTAGTTTTTAAAATGACAAATAACTGCATTTTTCCAAAAATCAAAATGATATTTGAATTCTTTTACTTTGACTTTATCTAAATAATTTTGCGATTTCACAAGTACAATTTCAAATTTATGATTTTTTGGCAATAAATTCATTTAGTAGTTTTTCGATAGTTTCCAAGATAAAAAAAAATTGCGTTTGTCAAAAAAAAAATGCAAAGTGGTTTATAGATTCTTTATTTCATTATATTCGAAATCATTTGAGATTTCACAAGTACAATTTATCTTTTTTTCATTTAAGTTTTGTCGTAATTTCCAAAATAATAAATAACCGCATTTGTCCAAAAACGAAACGAGACATGAGTTCTCCTACTTTTACTTTATTTAAATAGTTTGATGTTTCTCAAGTATAGTTATAAAATTTATGATTGTAGCAATAAATTCATTTATCATTTTTTGATAGTTTCTAAGATAAGAAAAATCGCTTTTGTCGAGAACAAATGAAATGGATTCTTTATTTTTACTTTATCCAAAATCATTTGAGGTTTCTCAAATACAATTAACGTTTTGCATTTAAGTTTTTTGGTAGTTTCGAAAATAACAAATAACCGCATTTGTCAAAAAACGATATGATACTTGAATCTTCTTACTTTTACTTTATCTAAATAATTTGAGGTTTCACAACTACAATTCCAAATTTTATGATTCTGGCAGTAAATCCATGTAGTACTTTTTGATAGTTTCCAAGATAAGAAAAATCGCTTTTGTCCAACAAAAATTGAGGCGATATATGAATTCTTTGTTTTTACTTTACTCGAAATCATTTAGGGTTTAAAAAAGGAAAATTGGCTAAAATAACCTAAAAAAAAATTATAACTTAAAAAGTAACAAAAACCCCCAAATCTAATGGTCATGATTTTGCAAGATACTTTATTTTTACTTATTTTTTAATATTTTTTTTTGCTATACACTAAAATGACCTTTTAACAAATACAATTTGTCATTTTCAATTTAAGTTTTTTTAGTAATTTTCAAAATAACAAATAACCGCATTTGTCCAAAAAACGATGCGACACCTAAGATCTCTTACTTTGTTTTATCTAAATAATTTAAAATTTCACAAGAACAATTCCAAATTTTAATGATCACGATAAATTTACATAATATTTTTGGGTAGTTTCCAAGACAAAAAAAAGAATCATTTTTGTTCAAAAAAACTAATCGTTTTAAGAATTCTTTATTTTTGCCTTATTTGAAAATCATTTGAAGTTTCACAAATACAATTCCAAGTTTTATGATCTTGACAATAAATTCATGTAGAATTTTTCAATTTAGATATTCAGACTTGTCTAGTGGAAATCATGTATTTTTAAGACTTTTTAAATTAAAGTAAGTAATATATAATTAAGGTACAAGGCAAAATATTATTTTTACACTTCGTTAAAATTCGAGATTTTTTCTCTAAGAAACTATTGGAGTTTTCGAGGAAAAAATGAGAAAAATAAAAGTTGCTGTTTAGGCAAATAAATAATTATTGTCTAAAGAAGGACAAGCGTGACTAACAAAGGACTAGTAACGCCCGTAACTTTAAAGCGGCAACGCGCCGGCTCATACGACGAGCTTAACCAAAGCAAATCACGCTTTTACACGTGTCGATTCCTTAGCGCGTGTAGTACACTCTCTACTAGCGAGAATGTGGCTCCAAAAAGGAATTTTCCAATAAGATTAATAAAGGAAGGATCAAAAATTAAAATAAAAAAAAAGAAGGGGAAAAAACAAAAATCGAAAGCTGAGAAAGTAAATGGGAAACGACGACTGAC